CTGGCCGGAATGTGCTGGTGCAGAAAGTGCCCTACGACGCCAACCACACCTACGTGCTATATGCCTGCGTTGCGCGCCGGCAAGTGGAGAAAGACAAGGCGTGCTCGGCGCGCCCTCCCGGCACACCCGGCGTGCTTGCATCCGGCGCACTCCACGAGCCAAGATCACAGGAGCAGAGCCCCCCGTACCGGCTGACTACCTCCTGGCAGCCGGGAGCAAAGAGTCAAGAGTCTTGAAACAGTCGAGTCGCAGAGCGAAGAGTCTTTGAGTCTTTGGACCCAGGTGGCTGGACCTCGAAAAAGTGGGCGCCTCGGCTCTTGCCTCGCAGCGCGTGCAAGTGCCACGAGGCCTGTGCCTTTGAAGCTGCTTCTCCCGTCTCTCGCACTGGCACAGCTGGGCACACAGCCGGGCACAGCCAATCACAGCTTGGCACAGCTTGGCACAGCTTGGCGCTGGGCACGGGTAGGCGCAGAGCCTCTCGGCGCCCAGCAGGGAGCCTGCCACCCCGGGCCGGGGCCCTCGCATCCTGCCCGTTCTTCTTTTGGACATCTGTTTCACCATGTTTTTGTTCATCTGAATGCACGGAGATCGGAGAATCCATCTTTTTGCAAAGCCATGTTGATCTATTTCTACAACAAGAAAGGACTCTGGTACACTACAACTTCGAACACTGCCACCAGTAATTTAATTGGGACAGAGCCGGAGAGAAGCGATTGTAGTTGAACCTTAAGACTATCAACCACCCCCTGCCCCAGAAGAAAGCTACTCTACTTGAACAAACACGTGTAGATATTGAAAAGAACGCTAAGGTTGCATTTGTGTACGACATGTGAATACAACCTCTACTGCTCAATGTCAAGAGCAGAACAACAACTGTTTTTGTTCAAAAAGTGTCGAGTTGCCCTTGTATTTATCCAAAGCAAATTTTGACCATTTACATGTGCTGAAACAGGATATGGACAAACTCTTAGATAGCGAACCACGCTGAGCCATTTGTATGTGAAATTATTTTCCGCCCCTAACGGTTTTTTTTCCACTGCATTCCCGCCAGCAAGCAAAGCAAGAATGCAAACCAACCCTAAGCCAACACTACACCCAAGCACGCAGGGTAACAAGCGAGCAAGCAAGCAGGCAGGCAGGCAAGCAAGCAAGCAGGCAGGCAAGCAGGCAAGCGCGCAAGCACGCAAGCAAGCCGGCAAGCAAGCAAGCAAGCGAGCAAGCAAGCAACCAAACAGGCAGGCAGGCAGGCAGGCAGGCAAGCAGGCAAGCAGGCAAGCAAGCCGGCAAGCAAGCAAGCAAGCAAACAAGCAAGCAAACAAGCAAGCAGGCAGGCAGGCAGGCAGGCCCCACCAACCCTAGACCAACCTCAAACCGACGCAAAACCAACCCAAACCCACCCTAAAACAACCCTACACAAAGCAAGCCTAACCCAACCCCAACGCCACCATAAACCCACCCTAAACCGCCCCAAAGCCCCATTCCCACAAAAGCCAACCCCCAATGCAGCCTAAACCAACCCGAACACCAAGCCTGAACCCACCCTAAACCACCCCGTTCAACCCTAAGACAACGCTGGCAAGCGTGTCACTTTTCACCAGCGTGAGCCAAACACGAATGCCAGTCTTGACGGCTTTTTCATGACAAAACAAAGTCTTGCATCATTTGGCAGGCATACGGGTGCGTGGGCTCAGTTGAACGGGCGTGCCGTGTAGAACGGTGCGCGCGGTTGATGCGGTGTGCTTATCGCTTGGCAGGCGCGTGTCGCAGTGGTTTGCGCGCAGTGGGCACGGACTCAGTTTGTGTTAGGAACGTGTGTGCTTATCATGTGGCAGGCATGTGTGCAGTGATGCACGGGCTCACTTGAACCAATCCTAAACCAGTTCCAAACGAATCAGCCCACAAACCCACCACAAACCTACCTGAACAACCCCATAATCCGACGGCAGGCCAGCGTTAACCTAATTGTCAGCCAGCCCTAAGCCAGACCTAAACAAAACCTAAGCCAGCCGAAAACCAAGCCTAAAACACCCACGAAAGAACCTAGGCCAGAACAAAAGCCACCCTAAGCCAGCAAACCTGGACCAGGACAGCGGTGGAAAAAAATGCCTGTTGGGGTCGAAAAAATTCCTCGGCAAGAGGTGCCACCACGAAACACTAAACAGATAACACAAACAACGTAAGATGTTTTGTTGGCAGTATATGAAGTCTTGCGTGAGACAGAATGGGACATTTGCCAATAATATTTTGGAGTACTTCAGTGGCTTTAGGAGTACAGAGAGATGAGCTGCTGGTGGCTGCTCAACCTGAAGATTTGCTTTACTTCAGAAAGCGGTAGCAGAGAGTACAGGACCACAGCGCAGCAGAGGGTTGATGCACAGGTATTGGCAGGTAAAGGATCTACTCCCGTGTGAGACGGAGGAACTCTCTCAAGCGATCATGAGTGTTGCGAATACTGTAGCCAGAGCGGACTATTGAAAACAGATAGACAATCCATCGCACGTGTTGCAAAGTATACTCGTGTATTGTCTATACTTGTCAAAGGAAGCTTCGAAGGAGCTTCCATGTTTATGGCAACTAACAGAAAGCTAGCTCTCTGAGGCAGATGACAAGAGAAGAAGAAAAAGCGCGCGGAAAGAAAGCCCGCGCAGGTGCAGCGCTTTCGGAAGGTCCAGGGAGCAAGAAATCCAGAAGGTCGATACAGAAATTGATAGGATAGCAGGGAGGGGTTTGATATTTTTGAATAGGTAGGCTGCTAGAGGGAGAGATTGATAGGCAGATTGGATTTGTAAGCTAGATAGGTGACAGATACTTAGGTAGGGCAATATGTCTATACATAGGTAGAAGGTAGGTGGACAGGTCGACAAATAGATGGGTAAATAGTTAAATGCCAGATATGTAGACGGGTAGACATTTAGACAGACAGAGAGATAGATAGATAGATGGCAAAGGAGAGAGGGGCAGGTAGATAGATACATGTGAAAGTAGAGGAGCGGACTAGACAGACACATGGATGAATAGATTAAAATTGGGAAGACAGAGAGATAGAGAGGTAAGACAGACAGACCAACTGATCGTTAGACAACTAGATGGAAGACAGGTAGGTAGATTTGTTGTTTGATAGATAGGTGGACACGTAGCGAGGCAGATGGATAGCTAGATAGATGGATAGATAGATCGGTTGATAGAGAAATCGATATGCAAGTAGAAAGAGAAAAGGCGAGCAAGAAGGAACTAATGAAAGAAACAGGAAAGCAGAGCAACCAAACATGAAATAAAGAGAAAGAACCAATGAAAGAAGGAAAGAAAGAATTGGGGGGCAACGAAAGAACAAAAGCAATACAAGAACCGTAGCTCTTGTTAATTGGTGTTCTGGTAACATGGCTAAACTCCATTGCACTTTTGAAAATAAGGGTGTAACATAGGGTATATGGTCCGGTGCTGGTGGCTGCATGTTTTTGGTTTTTTGGTGGTGTATGTTTGTCATTGACTTTGGTACGGACAGCTTATTGTAAACACATGGTTTAGTTGAGGACTACCGAAGCGAATGAGAACACACCCAAAAGCGCCCGTTTCAAAGCGAACAACAAGTCACCAAGTTCACAACAAACATGAAAAATCAGCACAGGGGACCCACCCTCAGCCCACCAACAAAGCACACCTGAAATCATCACACGTGTACTGAGGATTGCGTGAGGTCTCCAGAGCGGCTGTGGGCACTGGCAGCATGCCTGTGATGTGTGCAGCCCCGGATTGAAAGTGCAGCAAGTTTGGGAGCCAACGGGCTCCTAATCTTTGAGAAGAGCAGCGGCAGCTTTAGGTCTGAGAGGCCCCACACCACTGGCTCGCTGTTGCCGGCAGCTCAGACTCAAGCAGTTGGGTGCTGATGGAGCCTCTGCTCCAGCCACAGGAATCATGGAGGCATAATACTTGACTCAATGTCAAAGACTTCCTGGTTGAATCTCGAGTGTGTGCATAAGTAGCATAGATAGCATATGTTGCTGCTTTTCAATTTGGTTTGGACATGGCTTCGCCGCACCAAGGCCCAGCATGGCGCCGACGCCTGGGGCTCGGGAAGGGCGGCGATGCAAGATGCCTAAAAACACTATACGCTCCCTTCGAAGACATGTCCGGCAGTGATTGCACAAGGGTTGGCCAAATGACGCGAAGGGAGTGAAGGCGAGACCATGGCCAACGCCACGTGAGCCACGTGAGCCTTGCCGCGTGAGCCGCGTGCGCCGCAACAAGGCCTGGCTCGGCCTACACCAGCTACGAGTTGAGACCCGCTCAGCCCGCTTGCGCTTTTGCCGGACACTCGTCACTTGTTGGCACCGCAGGACGGCCTATCCCACCTACAAGCCATCTGGTGGCTATCCCATGGGCCCACCAGGGCCCGATCGCTGATCACGATTCTCGAGGCAACGCAGTGACTTGCATCGGGGTGTGAGGATGATGGCAGCACAGATGGCGCCGTATCCTGGACACAAGGCTTTGCGCTTTCCAAAGCAGTGACATATGCGATGTGATACCTCGCAGGTGATGTCGGGCCCCATGCCGGTTCCGACACCCTTGGCAGCCCACATGAGCACGAGCCTCACGGCCAGCCAGTCGTTTGAGTTTGCAAGATGCACAGGTCCTGGCGCGGCCTCCCCCACCTTGGCCTTTCCAAGCGCGAAGCCCACACTTCTCTGCGTCGCTCATTCACTTGGCGTGCCAGTGTGAGGTGCAGCTGTGGGCACTCGCTGAAGTCCGTAATTTGATGCAAGAGTAAGAGCTCGCCATGCAAAGCCTTCCCGCCCGATATCTTTGCATGTGCTTGTACAGCTGCCAAATATTCAGCTCTGGCAGGATGATGCCAGCTCGCTTTTCAGACGAGGGCGATGTAGCGATTGCTCCAAATTGCATTGCAGACTGCTAGCGTTTCACACTGCAGATTCTGCCAGAGAGTCGGTCTCCTGGCTTCCCACGATCAAGCTTGACATGCATGCACTTGCCGTTCTTCTCAAGGGTGCCAAGCTTGGCCCCTTCGGGATGGAAAGCAAGACCAATGGCGCTGCAAGCTCTATCTTCGGGCTTGGGATCTGTCAAAAAGGCAGCGCAGCAGACTCAGTCGACCAATTTCCCCCGGCAAATCTGCTCGGTTTGCCGGGCCAGTGAGCCGAGAGTCTGACTTAAGGAACCGAGTCGCTCAGAGAGAGAGCCCCTTGGAGAAGAACCTCCGAGAGGCACGAGAAACCTCATGCCTCCGAGTCCATTCAAGAATCAATCAGGCCACCTCCAACCAGAACTGGGGCGTGCCGAACAGCCAGCAGCGGCCCGGGTACGTTCCAGCAAGGGTCGGAAGTCGACGTTTTGGCTCCAGTTCGCCTGGCCCAGGCTGCATGACATCGCAAGGGCATCCTTCGATTTCCAGGAGTCCCGCGCTCGGAGCCGTGTGCCACGTGCCGTGCTTCCCATTTCGTTGTACTTGTTGATTAGGTATGGAGCCATCGTCACGGAACTTTGGGCCGGCTTGCAGGCCGGAGATGGAGAGAGCGCGAAGAAAGAAATGTCAAACTACATGCTTCACTTCCTGCATATGTGTTGCATGTATGTTCACTATCGCAGGCCTTGAGCTTACTACTCCGCATGAGTGAAAAGGTTGGCAGCTGCAGACTACATTGGTTGACTGTTTGTTTGAACACTACAGCACTTGCACTTGTAAGCAAAAGTACCAACTAAATTTAACGTGGTAGCGGAGAGCTGAGATCCTAAACATAGGGGAGCTCCAGTAAGCAGTAAGTACTACAACCGCAGCAACAGCAGTCACATGCCAAACTACTACGACATGTCAGGAGAAGCAGCATCAGCCTCAGCGCAACAAACTACAGGAGCAGAGAACGGGCCAACAGCAGACACAGTAGGAGCCACAACTACGGGAGCAGGAGCAGAACAAGACAACGACGTTCAGAGACTACATAGATACAAACTGCCACCACCCTTCTTCACTGGTGACTACTCCCAGTATGAAGAATGGCTGTTCAAGCTACAAGCATACCTTGGCCTCATAGACCAAGACTTTGACCTGGTGCTACAACTAGCACAAGTGGCTACACGACAGATTGAGGACACAGACACCAGAACACACATACTCGACCCTACAAAAGCAAGCTCTCCAGAGATCTACACTACATCCTCATCAACATCTGTCAGGGAGCAGCAGCAGTAGTAAGGCAAAACCGCTACAACGCAAACGGATGTGAAACACTACGACTACTACACAACAGGTTCAGCCTACCAGTAGGAACAAGGATCGTTGGCTACCTTACCAACCTACTGGAACCTACATTCAACGAAGCGCAGTTTGAAGAACAGTTTCTACAATGGGAATACGACATCAACCGCTACGAGAAAGGCAATGGAACAGCACTACCAGATGGAATCAAAATTGCAATACTACTCAACAAAACCAAAGGAGCACTGCAGCAACACCTCCAACTGCGAGCTGGACAGATCACGAACTACATCGAGATCAGAGCACTCATCTTGGACTACTACAAGACGAATGTTGACAACATATGGAGGAAAGGAAGAAACTACAAAGGCAAAGGAAAAGGAAAAGGCAACTACAAAGGAAGCAAAAGCAAAGGCAAATATAGGAGTAAAGGGCACTACAAAGGATTCGACAAAGGCAGCAAAGGAAACTACAACAAAGGAGGATACAACAAGAGCAAAGGAAAAGGCTACTCAGGATCCAAAGGATATGGATCAAGCAAAGGCTACAAAGGCCAAGGAAACTTCAGAGCCTCCGGCTCAGTCCGCCGACATTGTCCTCTCCCTTTTCTCCTTCTGCCTCTCTCCCTTGTCTCCCTTGTGTGTTCTGTCGTGGTCTCTCCCTCCCTCTGCTCCCCATCCTCCCCATCCCCCCAAGCCTCTCCATGCCCAGTCTCCCTCTCTGGTATGTATGTATGCATATATATATATATGTGTATGTCTGTCTGTCTGTCTGTCTGTCTGTCTGTCTGTCTGTCTGTCTGTCTGTCTGTCTGTCTGTCTGTCTGTCTGTCTGTCTGTCTGTCTGTCTGTCTGTCTGTCTGTCTGTCTGTCTGTATGTATGTATGTATGTATGTATGTATGTATGTATGTATGTATGTATGTATGTATGTATGTATGTATGTATGTATGTATGCATATGTATGTATGTAATGTATGTATGTATGTATGTATGTATGTATGTATGTATGTATGTATGTATGTATGTATGTATGTATGTATGTATGATGTAATGTATGTATGTATGTATGTATGTATGTATGTATGTATGTATGTATGTATGTATGTATGTATGTATGTATGTATGTATGTATGTATGTAATGTTTTGTATGTATGTATGTATGTATGTATGTATGTATGTATGTATGTATGTATGTATGTATGTATGTATGTATGTATGTATGTATGTATGTATGTATGTATGTATGTAATGTAATGTAATGTAATGTAATGTAGTGTAGTGTAATGTAATGTAATGTAATGTAATGTAATGTAATGTAATGTAATGTAATGTAATGTAATGATGTATGTATGTATGTATGTATGTATGTATGTATGTATGTATGTATGTATGTATGTATGTATGTATGTATGTATGTATGTATGTATGTATGTATGTATGTATGTAAGGAATGTATGTATGTATGTATGTATGTATGTATGTATGTATGTATGTATGTATGTATGTATGTATGTATGTATGTATGTATGTATGTATGTATGTATGTATGTATGTACGAATGTATGTATGTATGTATGTATGTATGTATGTATGTATGTATGTATGTATGTATGTATGTATGTATGTAATGTATGTAAGGAATGTAATGAATGTAATGTATGAAATGAATGCAAGGGATGAATGTATGAAAGACGTCCAAAAACATGGAGTTTTCCAGATTTTCGGCAAAAGGATGTAGGAAGCCCAAGCCAGCAAAAAAGCCGGCAGGGGGAATCGAGCCTGGGACCCCTGTTTTGCGACACCGGCTCCCCGAAGACTACGTTTAGTGGAACGTCATCAAATTGCCGCGCGGTAGGAGGAGGAGGGGGGGGGGGGCGGGGGGCGACCGAAAAACCATGCGTATTTGACGTGTCCCGGAAAAGGACTAAGGGGGGGGTTATCCTCTATCCTCTCTTAGGTATCCAATAGTCCTCTCTTTGGTGTCCGACACGCCGAGCAATGTCGGCGGACTACAGCAAATCAAAAGGAAAAGGAAACAACAACTACACAACGTGCCATCGATGTGGCAAGCCTGGCCACTGGGCACAAGACTGCAGAGTGCCAGTATGGCACATAGGAGAAGGAGAAGAACTACATCCACTAGAACAAGAACAAACAGATCATGACAACAATGAAGAACTACCTCAGGATGTGAACGACACTTGGGACTGGTACTACGAAGGAGAAGAAGGACAACACGAGGTGAACTACATGGAGGAGAACTGGAACGACTACGACCATGACAACAGCTGGGATTGGAATGACAACAGCTATAAGGACACAGCAAACTACATTGGAGGCATCAACGAGTCACACCTTACCATTGGACACATCAGACAAGCAAAGTCACGACTACACAAGCACAAACCCAAATCAGTACTTGGCAAGAGAACAACACACACAACATCATGGAACGACCACAGCAAGAGCTTGCAACAATCCCTACAAGAAGACACCACACAGCTACACTTCGACATAGCAGCAGCAAGACAACAACAAAGGAACAAGAAGATTGAGGACACTATCGCACACTACATCATGTCTCCAACTTCCAGTCATACCACCACCTGTTGATCGACTCAGGAGCATCTAGTTACACATGTTTGCCCGAAGGACTACGCACCAGACCTACCGCTACGACCTTGTGGAGAACCAGTTCCACAACTCTACACGGTTACAAACAAGAAGATTCCTGTCTACGGCATCAAGTACGTTCCCTACAAGCAGGACAACTTCAGGATCATGACACCCTACTACGTTTGTGATGTGAAGTATCCAATCCTCAGTGCATCAAGACTACTTGATAGAGGATATGGACTTGACTTCACTCCACGACACTGCACCATCACACATGGACAACAACAAGCACACCTCAGAAGACACTCAGGACTTTTCTACCTACGAGCATAGAAGATCGACATCCCTACAGGATTCGACATCTACACAGTGGAAAATCCATTGCTGTGATTCAACCTGCAGCGAAAGCAGTACAACAACCAGAGCAAATTGCAGCACTCACCCACACAGACCAAGGACTACGACAGATCCTTGGTGGAAACACTGACTACTGGAAACTTGATGGTGACTACGCCATCAGAGTACACAAGCGACCACGCAAAGCATTGTTCACACCACACAACAGCGGTTGCCCAACACCTGAAGGAGAACTAGATGATTGGCGACTAACCATCATCAACAGACAAGGGCAAGAGCAAGAACAACTACAAGAGAACCCAACACAACTTTCCAAGCAGAACTACAACGAAGACTAGAAGGTGACAACTGGACTGGAGAAACCAGATTCAGAAGAAAGATAACACCTACACGCAGAGCAACATCAAAGACCACACCAACAAGGCAGAGCTCACAACCACAACGGCTAATGGACACACCACCAACCAGATCAAAGATCCAACTACGAGCACCGCAAAAGATATGGAGACCTAAAGCAGCACCTTCTACAAATCTTGACACCACACAATCAAAGGAGACAATCCACAGACCACTCACAGCGCAGGAGGACAACCAAGACTACTGGGAAAGACAAGGTGAATACTGGATAAGACACCACACAACACTTAGAACAACTCTATTCACTCCAATAGATGGACCAGGACATCCACCAACCAGCACACTTGAGCCTCACAGAACTACAATCACTCACAACAACTTTGGAGAAGTTTGACAACGCAAAGATGACTGGGCAGTCATGGGCAACGCAGCACTACCATTTCAATGGAAAGGAACAACAAGGTTCACCATGAAGAAAGACTACGAGTACATCCAGGAGAACCACGATGAGGAACAACAACACGAGCATCATGAAGCGCACAGACCAAGAGGACTACGACAACCACAGCAGCCCACTCCACAACAAATAGCAGAACACAATCTTACACACCTACCATACAGAAACTGGTGTCCAATTTGCGTTCAAGGCAAAGGGCGCCAAGACAACTACAAGAAACAACAATCACGACAACCCGTCATTCAAGTAGACTTCGCCTACATCAAATCACAACAAGACCCAAAGACCATACCAGTACTGACAGCAAATGATGTTACTACACAACTGTGTATGGCAGTAATGGTCCTGGACAAACCATCAATGATGGACTACATGGTCAACAACCTACAAGCATTCATCTTTGAGTGCGGAAGAATACAAGGCATACTACAAAGCGACAACGAAGACACACTCAACGCACTTCTAAAAGCTACAGCAGCAAAAGTCGGCTCAATGACTGTACGACACTCACCGTCTTACAGCAGCAACAGTCAAGGAAGCGTTGAGCGACTACATAGAACACTCCTCGGACAAATCCGCGTTGTCAAAGCTCAGGTTGAAAGCAACTACAGCACGACGATGTCCACAAAGCACTGTCTACTACCTTGGATAGTACGACATGCAGCATGGACGGTAAATCGCTACGTCATCCACTCAGACGGCTACACAAGCTTTGAACGCCGCTAAAAAAGAAACTACGAGCGAGCAATCTGCGAATTTGGCGAGACACTACTTTACCTTCCACCACAACACAAGAAACTTCCAAAAGCAGACCTACGGATGCAGAAATGCGTCTGGCTCGGAAAAGTTTCCGAAACCGGAGAAAACTACGTCGCAACGGAATCAGGCGTACAAAAGGTACGAACAGTACGGAGACTACAACCGGACTTCAAATACGACCTCGCACTGTTGAACAAAGTTTCCGGCACACCATGGGCGCCACGACGGAACACCTACAACCCATCGTTCGCAACACTGTTGGATACGCAACTACAACCGTCAGAGAAAAGAAGGTCCACGCAAGATTTCGGACAACAGACGAACGCTACGGACGACATCGTTGCGGAACCCGCGACAAAGCAACAACGCACTACACCACCTCCACGACTTCCGTCTACATCGACGTCAAGTTCACGACCACTACCGGATAGTCCTATGGCTACTTCACCAACCGGACGACAACATCCACCACTACCAGCACCACCTCGACAAACACTACGACGTTTAACTCCGGAAGAAGTAATGCAACCAACTAAAGCACAGAAGGCCTCAAAGGACACTACAATCAGATCAACGGAGCAAGCAACCAAAGAACCACCACCGCTTCGACAGAAAACCAACGCAGTGACACTTCCCAACGGAAAATCCATCACCCCCTACACAAACGATGGCACCTCAGAAGACCAACCCACAATCTTCGACAACGAAGGTTACGACGAAACACAACTACTGGAAGGAATGAAACACGAGTCAAACCAAATGAAGCTACATGACGTCTACGACGAAGTAGATGCGTCTACCGTCGGCGACAACGTCATCAGAGAAGCGATACCTACAAGATGGGTACATAGAAAGCAAGGACCAGGAGTACGAAGCCGAATCGTCGCAAAAGGCTACACAGAGAAGATCGAGGACGAAGACTCCGTCTACGCCTCTACACCAATGTTCACGACACTCCGGGCACTTCTCGCACTACAAATGTCACGACCAAACTGGATCGCGCGACTAGGTGACGTCTCTACAGCATTTCTACACGCACCCATCGCAAAAGACCACGACGGTAAACAACGTGACGTCTACCTTTGGCCACCTAAAGAACTATGTCCACAACAGGACAAAATCTGGCGACTAAAGAAAGCCATGTATGGACTACGCAGTTCACCAACAGCATGGCAGGACTACCTGGCTGAAGTGTTACAAAAGCTCAGCTTTGTAAGACTAAAGTCAGAACCTAACGTCTACACCAATGCGACCCGCGACTGCTACATCATGGTCTACGTGGACGATCTACTAGTACTTGGAGACAAGACTGCGGTCGACTCCACTTTCGAGGCCGTCCAGAAGCAGGTCCTACTCAAGCGCATCGGCTACCTCGAACCTGGCAAATCACAACAATTTCTTGGAAGAAACATCGACCACTTTGGCAACCACTGCAATCTTGGACCAAAGGACTCCCACATCGACAACATGACCGAGGAGTCTGGAATGGGCAACTGCAACTCAGTGAACACTCCAGGCATTGCACACTACAAACCAACAGTAGAAGATGAAGCACTACTTGACCACGAACAACACAAAAGGTACAGAAGGATTGTTGGCAAACTTCAATGGTTAGCATACACACGACCAGACATTGCATACTCCACAAAAGAATTAGCACGAGACCTCACAGCACCTACAGAACTTTCACAAAAGAGAGTCAAACATCTACTACGCTACTTGCACGGCGCCAAGCACTACAAATTCACCATAGAACCAACAACAACACTCAGAGCAAACACCAACAACATCCTGGATCTCGACGTTCATGTCGATGCCGCCTGGGCACGATGCCCTACTACCAGGAAATCAACTTCAGGTTTCAACATAATCTTTTTAGGAACAACAGTTGCGTTTGGCAGCAGAACAAAAGCTACAATAGCACTCAGCGTCTGAACTCTACGCCATTTGCACAGGAGTTAATGAGGGACTACACCTCAGAAACTTCCTACTTGAAACCAACATTTGCAGCAAGCTAAACCTACGCATCCACACAGACTCCACAGCAGGCAAGAGCATTGCTACACGACAAGGCGCTAGCAAACGAGCAAAACACATCGACCTCAAATTTCTCTACACACAAGACCTCATCAAGCACAACATCATTAGAATCCTTAAGACCAACACACTGCACAGCAGCGCAGATTTGTTTACCAAATACATCAGCAAAGAAACACTACACAGGCTCATCCAGAGCATTGGGATACGCATTTAGCACTACGAACGACCAGCGCAGCAGTTTCACAACAACAACAACAACAACAACAACAACAACAACAACAACAACAACAACAACAACAACAACAACAACAACAACAACAACAACAACAACAACAACAACAACAACAACAACAACAACAACAACAACAACAACACAAAACAACAACAACAACAACAACAACAACAACAACAACAACAACAACAACAACAACAACAACAACACCAGCAACAACAACAACAACAACGACTTTGAACATTTTCTTGTATGTAAGTAGCTACATGTAACACGACACCTTTGGTATGTAAGTAACAGTAACTACATGTATTTTCACTTGCACTTTTGGCGGCTGAGTCAACACCACAGTTGTTTGTTTTACATGTCTGCATGCGCCGCCTGCCTGATAGCAACTACTTAGGCTCATTTTGTTTTTGCCCCGTTTCACTACGTTTTGCATTCCGCTGCAGCCATGGCCGCTCCATCTACTGCAGATGCTACGATGGGAGACGCCACTACGCCCGACAGGGCAACTACACCTGAGGTGGCGGTCACTACGGACTCCAGTGACCACGGAACTCCACCGCCTCAAGCCTACAACGACTCCAACTACCACTTCAACCATTCTACACCTGGCAACACGGTCTACTACAACCCGACCACAGTGATGGACCAACTACACATTACTGAGCACCAGACAACCGCTACACCACCATTGCCCGACAACACACCGTTTTTCACTGCACTCACACTTGAAGAGTATCAACTACTCTCACAACAACAAGCAACTCCATTGGCACAACTGGACTACACGCGACCCATTCACTGCATCCCTGGAGACCTTCGGATGCCTCACTACAACTCTACACTGCTCAGCGTTTCACTACCTGAAGCAGCCAACGTCCACTACTACCACACGACTTCACTCCATACTACAACCAGCCACAACACCAATTACATCATCATCCAACTCCAGATTGAACAACCACTACTCCTGAGGTACCTCACTTCAGGACAATTTCTACACTTCACAAGGGACTACATCTCCTACATGATGTCCATACAACAGAACTACTACCTCCCGACTACACCAATTCCACAGACCATCTACAAGGTGAACTACAAGGTGAACTACAACATGACCACCTTCACTGACAACTACAGCCTTAGGAACAACTACCTTTGGAACTACCACATGCCCCTACTACTACCTGAGCAACTCCACTACCTTTACAACAGAGACCAACTACACGACTTCCAGCACAAGGCAATTACTACCATCCTCTGCAAGAGTATACAGTACTACGGATTCACACTCACCATGACAAATCTCACTCAACATCGAGCTGGAACCTGAACAGCGTGAACTACTGAGCGCAGGTCACTACTTTTGCCAATACAGTAGAATTGATGAACAACAATGGTTTTCATCACTACTGTCAATCCATGTTTTGCACTTCAGTTGAAAAGGTACTACAAAGACCTTTTAACTGAGGGGCCGTGTCAAACTACATGCTTCACTTCCTGCATATGTGTCGCATGTATGTTCACTACCGCAGGCCTTGAGCTTACTACTCCGCATGAGTGAAAAGGTTGGCAGCTGCAGACTACATTGGTTGACTGTTTGTTTGAACACTACAGCACTTGCACTTGTAAGCAAAAGTACCAACTAAATTTAACGAGAGAGAGAGAGAGAGAGAGAAGTGCCAGCCGTTGCACCCGCGAGGAGTCCAAGAGTAGATGGCGGCGAGTACTGAAAACTTTGAACTTGTTGGAGTTCTTGATCAAAAATGGCAGCGAACGCATCATTGACGAAGTGCGCCGCGACCAGTACAAGGCGTGTGAGACGGTGGAGTTGCGAATAACGTGCAAAAAACGATGCAATTGCACAACATGCTGAAAACGCCTGGACAGGTTCGGCCTCTCATGGATTTCAATTATTCAGAGGATGGTGGGGAGCCGAGTCTGGAAAGGTGTTTGCCCACCAGCTCACATCTTGCTTCAGGAAAAGACAAAGGCGCTGCCGTGCGAGAGAAGGCCCGGGAGCCATGGGGACCGTGTGGCTGCGCCGTGGCCGCCTTGTGGCGACGGCAAGGCCAAAGCTGTCCTTGAACTGGTCAGCGACAATGACTTGCTCCGCTCAGAGCGCGAGAAGGCGATGGCGTGACGCGGGAAGGTAGTAACAATAGTGGCGTATGGGCGGTGTGACAGGCTCGCACGCACCGGGAGAAGTTCATGGGCATGCGCTGGCCTCAAGTCTCGAGAAGTCTCGAGGACCTATGAGCTAGCGCAGCCGAGGTCATCAGTGGATAGCAGCAGCTACTCTGGTGGCTACGGCGGTGGGGGCAGCTATGGAGGTGGGGGCAGCTACGGCGGCAAGGACAGCTACGGCGGCAAGGACAGCTACGGTGGCAAGGATAGCTACAGCGGCCGAGACAGCTACTCTGGGCGCATCTCCTAGTTGAGAATGATTCCAGGGAGTGAGAAATGTGAGAAACTGGGATTGTGCTGAGGGCTGGCTATGGTGACAAGCCGCAAGCCCCCCAGAGCCTGGCAGACAGGCATTCCAATCATTGACTCGAATCCTTCAGGTATGACCCCTACGTAGGCAACAAGAAGTTTGAGGAAGCACGCAGAAGACGAGAAGAGGACGAGTTATAGCCCTAGCGACACTAGCGACACTGGCACACGCAAGCGGTTGGCTCCTTGTGCTAGGCGAGATCGGGACCGACGAGATCGGGATGACGACCGCGACCTGCGCCGCACAGCTCTCAGATGTTCCGCTCGAGTGCCGTCCGCGATGCAACTTGATGTTTTTCAGGCCGCGAGGACAGGGACTATGACCGTCGAGATGACAGGGTGGAAACCCGAGAGAGAGAGAGAGAGAGAGAGAGAGAGAGAGAGAGAGGGGAAGAGAGAGGAAGAGCTGCTCATAGTGTGCCAGGATGATCGGCTGCGTGATGATAGAGACGACAGGGAGAGCCGCAAGCTCATTGGGCGTTCCCCGCATTCAGCTTGAGGCCATTGAAGGCTTTGAAGGCTGTGCGTTCAGGTCGACGCCGTGATGATCGAGATGATAGGCCTCTTTCTGGTTCCAGGCCGGGGCCCTGTGAGCATCTGTGACGCGCAGGCGAGATGACCGTCGAGCGCTCAGCGCGTGCGCGGCTGGGGATTTGATTCTGCCGCGATGCGCCTCGCGAGGGCGCCGCGACGAGCGTTCCCGGAGGGTGCGGGCCTCGGGGCCTCGGGGCCTTGGGGCCTCGGGGCCTCGGACGGTGGCGATTTTTCGCCTCGCTGTCAGGATCGCGATGACCGAGAGGAGAGGGAGAGGGACACTCGCAAAGCCGAGCCACAGGAGCCGCGATCCTTGGGTCGCTTTGTGCCAATCCGACCCGGCAGGCGAACTTGTTGGACATGGGAGATTCCCCGAAGCCATCAGCTCCCCAGGGAGCTCAGGGAGCTCAGGGATGGGGTGAGGTCCTCACAGATGGGGCCCTACGGGAGTTTTGGCAGTTCTCCAGCTTGAGGTGCATTCGAGACTGGCAACGACTTCGCGGACTTCACCTCGGCTGCACCTGCAGCGACGGATGGCTTCGGAGACTTCGTGGGTTGGGGCCCAAACTGAGAGAGGAAAGTTGAAAGGAAGACAAAGGAAAGAGAGACTTCGGAGTTAGACCTCAAAATGGCCCTCGAGGAACGCAGGCGGCCACTCAGGCCTGTGAGCTGTGTAATGGACATTTGGAACATGATCCCTGTCCCAAACTTTCCGACGTCAGGGCGACATGTTCGGCAATGTCCAGTTCCAGGCGTGGAGATCGTCTTGCTTCAGGTTTCTTAGTTTCTTAGTCGTCTTCGGCACGAGGCAGCTGCTCCGGCCGCGGCCGCGGCCGCCCCGGCCGCCCCGGCCGCCCCGGCCGCCCCTGCGCCAGGGGCCTGAGAATTGTATGTCAATATCTCGGAGAAAAAAAACCATAAGCCAATAAGGCTCGTCTGCCCGTCTTGGCGTTGAGGGCTTTTGTGGGTATTGAAACAGATTCGCGCAAACCTTAAGTTTGCAGTCCCAAAACACCCAGTGCCGATCACCGCATAACCAGCCTGAGGCAAACCGCACAACTTGGCTGTTTTGGCTGTTGCGACATATGAGTTTCTTTCGTCATGCTAAATAAATCGTAAAGCCCATGAAGCCTAGAGACATCAAGCACCAGCACGCGGCCCCAAACACATCGGTACAGGGCGAATCGGGCCTGGGACCTTGACTTTGGGTGCATGTGCCTTCCACTGAGCCATGGAATTATGCCTTGACCGCGAGAATCGAAACCCCCGAAAGCCCCATAAACCGAGTTATTGCCTTTCACGTGTGCCACAAAGTCGAAATTTGACAACGGATTAACATCAAAGATGCACTCACAGCGTGTGGGGGGGGGGGGGAAGGAGAGGGGAAGGAGAGGGTCAGGGCCTCTAGAAGTACTCGGAAGTACTTCTTTTTCTACTTTTTTTTACTTGCCTCTCGGTCGCTTCGCTGTAATCGTCTCAGGCCCAAGGGCCTCGGATTGTTAACTTCTGGACTTGTCGTTTGTCTCTCTGCTTCCAAGATGAAACCAACAGACATTTTATGCGAACAAAATGAACAGGAATACAGAATATATAGAGAGAGTTAATCATGCTCTCCATTCTGGATTTCAATGAAGAGATAGACAAGACTAGAAACCCAAAGACGTGGACAATTCACCAGTAAAAGCACGGGAAATCGAGTGAAGCATTCTCGTAAAAACTTACGACTCTCCCCTCGATTTCGGGATTGTTGGAGAATCACACGGCAAGGTTGTTGTTTTCCTACAAGCAGAATGCCTCTTTTCGTGAATATTGCTTTGTGCTTGATTGACGTCGGAGCCAGCAAACCCACTTGTGGTCTTTGCTTTTGTTCACTTTGCCATCATCCCATTCCTGGTCCCTCGTTCCGGGTGCGTGCACAGAGCCTGTACAAGGTATTGTCCTTGACTCTTTGATTCCCTGGCATTGGGCCAGCTCTCGGTGGAGTCAATGCGAACTGCGAAGGGCCAAGCAAGGTCTGCAAGGTAAATCCCATTTCCGATTGCTGCAGGCACAACATCAACACATCTCACTGCAAAACGTACGGGCATTTGCACTACGACATGCCAAGGTCGGATGTACACCTACTGCGCAGGGAAAGGTCTGTTGTTTGCTGCAATGCAGCAGTATCGGGTCTTTTGTGTGCTGGTTAAGGTGATAGGATGCTCTGCACGACATGGCTCAGTTCACTGCAGCGCATGCTAGCTGCTTCGGGTATGAGCGCTATGCTGAGCCAGAATGTTTGCTGTTGATACCGCCCGCATGTCCAGTTCGTCCAGTTTGTTGTTGCAGCTCGTAGTTCAGATGAATGGCTATGCAGTCTCCAATCCGTGCGAGTAGTTCGGAACAACTTTGATGCTGCACAACACTCGATATCAATGCAAACCACTCGACTAGCTCAACGCGCAGGAGGACGGATGCTTTCTGGAACAGCACCCACAGTGGAATTCGGCTTGCAGTGGCAAGCGCAGAGTAATTGGATGATTGTGGTGACGCGGCCAAATGAGACCCAACTATAAATCGGCATGACCACGCTTGTGATTCTTTCCACCGATTTTGAGCAGATCCTGTGCCCCGTCTTGATTGTGACTCAGATGCTAATTTGTGAGCCTAGTCAGACATATTTCCTTCCACAGTCTTCATCCCCAAACAAGCTGAATGCTTTGGGGCAAAAACTGTTTAAAACTGACATCCTGCTAGGTCAATGCCTGACCTGTTCGCCGGAGAGGCGAACTTTCAGGCAAGCTTGTGATGCCTTGAACGTGAAGTTTGCAAGACTGATCAGGGGGGGGGCCTGCGGTGGCGGCTGCGGCGGAGGCTGCGGCTGCGGCGGCGGCTGCGGCGCAGGCTGCGGCGGAGGCTGCGGTGGATGTAGCGGCTGCGGAGGCTGCGGAGGATGCGGGGCATGTGGAGGATGCAGCGGTTGTGGAGGATGCGGAGGATGCGGAGCATGTGGAAGCTGCGGCGGCTGTGGAAGCTGTGGAGGGTGCGGAGGTGGATAGTGCACGTGGCATTTGCAGGGTTGCAGTTGTGTATCACCAGGGTTTTGTTTGAAGAGATGTTCAATGGCTCTTCCTTGCCATGAACTACGCTTTGCGCGGCATGCACATTGTACTCCTTGCTGTTGCGTGTACTTCCTGCCTTCAAAAACGGAAACCTTACAGCCTGTTTGTTTGGAGCGCGTAACGACGCTATTTTTGTTTAGAGCTGTTTGACAGTGCATGTACTTCCACGCGCATGTGCCGTAAGCTGCATCCAAGAATGAGAATCTACATCTCGATAGCAAATGCTATGATTCAGGGGTGATCATCAGCACAACTGGGTCTTGGACATGAGTGCAGGGATGCTACCGGCACATAGTTGCCGTCGTTGCTGCCGTTGCCGTCGTTGCCATGGCTGTTGTTGCTGCCGCTGCTCCTGCGATGCGGCTGCTGCTGCTGCTGCTGCTGCTGCTGCTGCTGCTGCTGCTGCTGCTGCTGCTGCTGCTGCTGCTGCTCTTCTTGTTCTTCTTCTTGTTGTTGTTGTTGTGGTTGTGGTTGTGGTTGTGGTTGTGGTTGTGGTTGTGGTTGTGGTTGTGGTTGTGGTGGTGGTGGTGGTTGTGGTTGTGATTGTGGTTGTGGTTGTGGTTGTGGTTGTTGTTGTTGTTGTTGTTGTTGTTGTTGTTGTTGTTGCTGCTGCTGCTGCTGCTGCTGTTGTTGGTAGAGACTAAGACTGGGACCCTCTGGATACTTGATTGTAGCCTTTTTAGTGAGCTTCCTGGCAGACACTGAGGGTTACAGATGCAGGCCCAGGGTGATTTGAGAAACAGCTTTGTTTGAAGAAGCAGCATGGACACGAATTAAGGGTTTTGCGCGGCCTGTTGCCGGGGGGGGGGGGGTAAAAACAACCAACGGGGTCCCTGTTTTCGTTTCTAGGAAAGAGAAGAGAAGCCAACACCTCTTGAGGGGAGAGGGGGGTCAGAAGAACTGACGGGGCCCCTGTTTTAGTTTCGACAATGATGTAGAGACGTAGGGAAGAGAATGTGTGTTGGTGCAGCGTTTCCTCAGATATGGTAAAGCGCGGGCAACCATGTTTCCTTGGGGGTCATGAGGCAGGCACAATCAAGTTGCGTAATGAAGCAAACGCCCTGACCCTCATTTGCCCCCCAGCCATGTAAAGAAAGTGGCCCTGAAGAAGAAGGCGGCGTGCTGCTTTGTGGTTCCTTCTTGCTGCTGCTCTGTGGTTCCTTCTTGCTGCTGCTTTGTGGTTCCTTCTTGCTGCTGCTTTGTGGTCCCGGCTTGCTCCCCGCGTGGTGGGGGGTTGTTGGCGGGGGGGGGGGGGGTGATAACAACCGACGGGGCCCCTGTGAATGTTTGTACAGGAATGTAGAGACTAAGAGAAGAATAATGTGTGTACGGGGTCTCTGTTTTTGTTTGTACCTTGTTGTTGTTGTTGTTGTTGTTGTTGTTGTTGTTGCTGTTGCTGTTGCTGTTGCTGTTGCTGTTGCTGTTGCTGTTGCTGTTGCTGTTGCTGTTGCTGTTGCTGTTGCTGTTGCTGTTGCTGTTGCTGTTGCTGTTGCTGTTGCTGTTGCTGTTGCTGTTGCTGTTGCTGTTGCTGTTGCTGTTGCTGTTGCTGTTGTGTTGCTGTTGCTGTTGCTGTTGCTGTTGCTGTTGCTGTTGCTGTTGCTGTTGTTGTTGTTGTTGTTGTTGTTGTTGTTGTTGTTGTTGTTGTTGCTGTTGCGGTTGCTTTTGCTTTTGCTTTTGCTTTTGCTGTTGCTGTTGCTGTTGCTGTTGCTGTTGCTGTTGCTGTTGCTGTTGCTGTTGCTGTTGTTGTTGTTGTTGTTGTTGTTGTTGTTGTTGTTGTTGTTGTTGTTGTTGTTGTTGTTGCTGTGGTCGTTTTCGTGGTCGTGGTCGCCGTCGTCGTCGTCGTCGTCGTCGTCGTCGTGGTTGTTGTTGTTGTTGGCCCGGTCATCGCGTACGCGCACGTTTTAACTGCTTCCCAGCATGTGGGTTTTCGTTGGCAGGCGCAGCGCTTTGTGCGTGTTGGAGCTAAAGCAACGTCGTTTCGACCGCGTAGGCGCGCGCAGCCGGGAAACCGTGGATCTTGCGTTTTTGTCGCGCGTCGGGCGTGTTCGAGGTCAGGCGCGCGCATTTTTGCGCAGCATTTCCTGCATGTCGGACGTCAAGTGTGTGCATCCCGTGTGGCAGGCGCAGCGTTTCGTGGCAGCCAAATGGAAAGCACACCCAGAACCCACTGTGTCCATGCCAGCCACTGCATCCATGCCAGCCAAATGGTAAAGGCACTCGCTCAGAGCACCCGCTCAGCACTGTTTCCATGCGAGCCAACGCCCGCTCAGGACTGTGTGCTCAACAAACACCGGCTCAGGACCCGCGTCCGTCCTCTCAAAATGCCGCTCAAAGCACCCGTGCAGGCCAGCCGCAATGGAAAGCGCGCCCGCTCAAGAGCACTTGCTCAGTGCTGTGTCCACGCTCAGCACGGTGTCTAGCGTGGTGGAATCTGTGTTTGTGTTGTCTGCTGTGGCCAAGTATAGATGTAGGCGAGTCAATTCTTCGGGCTGGATGAGTTTCTGGATCCTGTCAAAGATAGGGCTTGGCTCTTTGAGTGATCTGTTGCTGGCGTTTTTTGGCCGTCCGCTTCTCAAAGAAAAAACCCGGAGCAACGTTGTCATGTGGGTGTTCCGGTATCGGCACCCATGGGGCCCGGGCGGGAAGCTGAACCAGAGTGCCTGGCACAGCAAAGAGATAGCCATCGTCTTGTGGGCTGGCGGCAGCTGGAGGGAGCAAGTGGAGGCGGAGGAGAGCTCGCTCGCAAACCTGCGTTCCGGCGCAACTCCAGGCCGCGGAGGAGGAGGCCAGGCTGACCCACGCCATTCGGCTGCTGCGGTCAAAGTTTGTGCACCGGTGCGTGGATTTGCAGCAGGTGCGAGCCGACACTTCGGGGTGGAGGATGACGAGGAGTCTGATCGACATCCTGTCACACAGGCTGAAGTCGGAGACGGACATGTGGTCCGGGCATGTGGTTATGCTGGCCTTGGGCGGCCTTGCTTGGCCGGCCCTCTGCTCAGCGAGCTGCGAGCTGGGCTGCGACCTTGTTCATCACCGGGAGCACTCGTGTTGTTCTGGACATCCGGCTACAGCCCTGCTTACTGCTCGCCACCGAAACTGCCGGCAAAGTCCCAAGGCCGTTTGTGGAACTGGCCCACCAGCGCTGCCGCTTGGATGTCACCTGCAGGGCAGCCAGCAACTGCGCCTTGCATGGCGCGCTCACCTGGAGCTGGCGGAGAGGTCAGCCACGCCCGGGGTGTTGCAGAGCTCGAAGAGCTCGAAGAGCCGCTGCCGTTGGCGGTCGCTTGATTTCTTGTGAGACCTGCGAGCGGGAAAGGCCAACAATTCAATATGTCATCGACGTAAATATATTTCTATAAGTGCCAGTAGAGCCGGCAAAGCCGATGGGCGGAAGTTTCAGAAATATAGGAAACACAAAATACTAGGCAACACAAGAAATAGATAAGACTAGGTGTCTGCGCGTAAGATTAGGCAACACGGGGAACAGAATGATTTTGGCAGAATACCATAAAAAATTGGAACAAAGTAGAACTACTAGATGAAAATAAAATGTATTAAGTAGAAACAGCTTTAAGCAATTTGAGCTAAGTCTCAATTTTAATCCGATTTTTTTTAAAACAACATAAGGGAGGTTAACGCACACATAAAGGATATACATAACCATATATATAGATAACCTTGTGTTCACATTATTGTGATATACGTATATATATATATATATATATTTGCACGACTAAACATATACATATATATATATAGCAATATATACAATGTTACATGTTTGTTTTCTATATTGAAATATATGTAATATAGATAGTAGTATATGCAATGTTGTATTTTTGCTTATTTTCATATTTTGTTGAGATATATATATATATATATATTTACGGGAATTCGGCAGACAGGTTTTCTTGATTCCTGTCAGTAACGGGGCCTAGGCGAGAATGCGATTTGGTCAGTGCAAACGTAAAGATAAACAGCGATTACAAAACAGTTTTCCGACTGGGACCATGCAATCGACTGGAAAAACCACGGTTTTCCACGTGTCCTCCGGTTGCGTACTTGCTGCACGCGCGTTTTCGTGACGACGCCGCGTTGTTGTTGTTGTTGTTGTTGTTGTTGTTGTTGTTGTTGTTCTTGTTCTTGTTCTTGTTCTTGTTCTTGTTGGTTGTCGTTGTTGGTTGTTGTTGTCGTCGTCGTCGTCGTCGTCGTTCTTTGTTGTTTGCTTCTGTTTGCTGTTGCTTGTTGTTGTTTGTTGTTTTTGTTGTTGTTGTTGTTGTTGTCGTTTGTTGTTGGTTGTGGTGGTGGTTGTTGTTGTGGTTGTTGGTTGTTGGGTGTTGGTTGTTGGTTGTTGGTTGTTGGTTGCTGTTGGTGGTGGTGGTGGTGTCGTTGTTTGTTGTTGTTTGTTGTTGTTGCTGCTGTTGTTGTTGTTGCTATTGCTGCTGGTAGTACTGTTTCTGTTGCTGCTGCTGTCGCTGCTGCTGTTATTGTTGTTGTTCTGGTTGGTTGGTTGGTTGGTTGGTTGGTTGGTTGGTTGGTTGGTTGGTTGGTTGGTTGTTGTTGGTGGTTGGTTGTTGGTTGTTGGTTGTTGGTTGTTGGTTGTTGGTTGTTGTTGTTGTTGTTGTTGTTGTTGTTGTTGTTGTTGTTGTTGTCGTAGTTGTGTTTGTTGTGTTTGTTGTGTTTGTTGTGTTCGTTGTGTTCGTTGTGTTCGTTGCGTTTGTTGCGTTTGTTGCGTTTGTTGCGTTTGTTGTTTGTTGTTTGTTGTTTGTTGCTTGTTGCTTGTTGTTTGTTGTTTGTTGCTTGTTGCTTGTTGCTTGTTGCTTGTTGCTTGTTGCTTGTTGCTTGGTGCTTGTTGCTTGTTGCTGTTGTTGTTGTTGTTGTTGTTGTTGTTGTTGTTGTTGTTGTTGTTGTTGTTGTTGTTGTTGTTGTTGTTGTTGTTGTTGTTGTTGTTGTTGTTGTTGTTTTTTGTTGTTGTTGTTGTTGTTGTTGTTGTTGTTGTTTTGGTGTTGTTGTTGTGTTGTTGTTGTTGTTGTTGTTGTTTGTGTGGTGGTGTGGTGTGTTGGTGGTAGGTGGTGTGGTGGTGGTGGTGGTGGTGTGGTGGTGGTGGGTGGTCTGTTGGTTTGTGGCGGCGGCGGCGGCGGCGGTGGTGGTGGTGTGCGATTTGGTTGTGCTTTGTATCGCCCTCGTTCTGCGGCTGTTGCCACTGCTGCAGGTGCTTTCTTGTGCAGGTCTTGCTTGTGGCAACACGTCAGGGCTGGGCCTGCCTGAGAACAATCATTTTGTAGCACAAAGTCGTGTGCTTTGATTTTAATCTCTGGGCACTCTAGCAAAATGAGCAAACCTGGCGTGCCTGTCCACATTTGTGTGCGCAGTGAATTGAGATGCCTAGAATCTCCAGCACTTCTCAGCAGCGTCGGGCGTTCCAGCACAGACTCGGCTTCAAGTTGTTGAACAGTGAAGCTCTCACGACTGTCATTGAGCCTGGTGAGACGGCTGCGGAGGCTGCGGAGGCTGCGGAGGCTGCGGAGGCTGCGGAGGCTTCGGCTGCGGAGGCTGCGGCTGTGGAGAGGGATGTGGAGGTGGCGGATGCGGTGGGTGGACGGGAGCAAGCTCGACGGCCGCAAGTGGTGGTCTCACAGGCAAAGTGGCACAGAGCGCATTTGAGACACTGAGGTGTGGACACCAGCGGGTGTGGCCCCAAGTCTTGGTGTTTTTGTGCTTTTTAGCAAGCTGGAATATTTTAATATTTGGAGATGACATGTCTTGGCAAGAACTTGAGTTGGCAGGTCTTTCCTGGATGGCATCTCCAGCAAACTTTTGGAGCCGCACTCGGATTTGCAAAGACAGGCACACTAGGAGTTCACCCGGACCGAGGACCTGAATCTGAGCTCCGACTCCCAAGCGTCCCAGTCAAGCTCCAAGCCCATGGGAGGCGCGCGAACACGTTTGCGCTTTCGCCGGCGTGCGCGCTTTTGCGCTTTTTACTAACACGAGACTCACGAGACTGGCAGATGGCTTGTGCGTTACCGTGTTGCTTGTGAGGTGGCGCGGGATCTATGGGCGTGGGTGCGCCTGGAGGCATGGGAGGCATGGGTGGCATGGGTGTGTGCGGATGCGGAGGTTGTGGAGGTTGCGCAGGTTGCGCAGGTTGTGGCTGTGGTGGTTGTGGCTGTGGTGGCGGCTGTGGCTGTGGCGGCTGTGGCGGCTGTGGCGGCTGTGGCGGCTGTGGCGGCTGTGGCGGCTGTGGCGGCTGCGGCTGCAGTGCATGCTGCGGTGGATGCGGCTGCGGATGTGGCGGCATGGGCCAAATGGGTCAGATGGGCCAAATGGGTCAAATGGGCCACATGGGTCAGATGGGTCAGATGGGCCAAATGGGCCAAATGGGCCAAATGGGCCAGATGGGCCAAATGGGCCAAATGGGCCAAATGGGCCAGATGGGCCAAATGGGCCAAATGGGCCAAATGGGCCAGATGGGCCAAATGGGCCAAATGGGGATGGGCCAAATGGGCATGAAGTGAGAGTGATTCCCGGAGTGCTCAGCCTTTCCAAGTGGACCCTGCGTGCTGACACGGGGCAATGTGTGGAGTCTGGATGAGTTGATGTGGAGGTAGTGTGACTCCGGCGCAGTGGGGTCATCACCGCAGATTCTTCAGTTGTTTGCAAGATGAAGGTTTGTGTTCCGACCCTACTCATTCTTCTGTGTTTTGTGTATGCGCAAACGGGCACCAACTTGGAGGTGGAGTGACTGAGCTCTATGTGCCACCGGTTGATTTGGCACCGTCACGTGACAGAAGTGCACAAGGTAACACAAATGTTCACCCCTTCGGTTCAGAAGGGAAAGGCAGCTTTTGAGCCAATTCACAGCCGGATGAGCAAATTGGATCCCCACGTTTGCTTGTTTTTGTACTATGCAGTACACTGTCGTCCTGTTGATGACACAAAGGCTCAGGCTTGCGAAGTGCAGAGTAGCTCAAGATTGGCCATGTGGACCAAGGGTCAAAGACAGCATAGAATGCACGCGCTTGGCAAAAAGGAAGGCTCGGATTGAACGTGCTGTTCCCTGCCTTTCCCCACCTTTCCATGCCTTTGGTTTCATTGCTGCATTTAAGTCATTGGTCAGCCTGGGTTCAAGTGCTGATCATGGAGGCCGAGTCCAAGGAGTCCTCAGAGATTTCTCGGACCCGGAAGAGTCGCATCCGCCAGTCCTGGTCGGTGGCGGCGGCCACGTACGTGGGCTGCTGCTTCACCGAGATGGAGTCCGACCGCTCGCTGCGGCGCCGCCTCGACCGGGGCACCGGTTCTTTGAGCTCCGGCGCCGTGGCCTCCGGCGCCATGGTGCCGGCTGGCGGGGCCACCGCCGCGGCCCCGGCCCCGGGCTTCACTGGGCGGTGCCTCCGCGCCTTGTCCTGGATGGGCCTGCCTTGGGTCTGCCAACGCAACTCCGTGGCCAGACACGCTGAGCCAGCTGCAGTCTCGCACCCAGGGACAGATGCAAGCTTGCTGCCTTGCTGCCTTGCTGCCTTGCTGCCTTGCTCGGCACATGCCGTTCAGGTGGAGAATTGTCCGCCACCGGTGCTCTACACGCAGTCTGGGGCCCTGGAAATGCAGGAATCGCTACATCGCTTCGAGTCGCCCAAAGGCGCTGGGTGCAGCTCGCCTTCTTGGCCCTGTTAGCCTTGGTCAGTGACCTGGTGTGGGCACCCCAAGACGCGTGACGTGAGTCGCTCACAATCAACGTGCACTGGACATGCAGGTGTTTCAGTGTGGCTGCCACGCGAGCTGCTCAGATCGCGCCTCGGACCATCCCGGTGAGACATCCGGCCGAGGCCAGCGACATGGACCAAGGTCTTCGGGCAGGAGAAATGCATTCTGAAGCTTTCAGACTTGAGTCTTTCAGAGTCTTTCAGAGTCTTTCAGAGAGGATCCCGCATCACTGATTGACATCTTCCTGTTCACCAATGTCTTTGCATGCTTTTTAGAGCCCTACGTCCTTGACTCAGAGACGGTGCCATGGTCAAAGGCCTATCAGGTTGCACGGGACGGGAATAACTTATTTTCATCTCAAGATTGGTCGAAACAACCTTGCCTATGGCTACACTCTCAGCGCGTGTTGACCATTGCCAGGTGATTCGGAAGTTCGGCCTGCGAATCCCCATCGTAGGTGCCGCAGTGTAAGAGACTCAGTTCCAGGGTTGCGTCGAGCTGAGTCGAGCCCGGCCGAGTCCGGTCGAGTCAAGGCTCATGGCTGTGGGCTGTTGGCTTCGCTCCGGCATTCCCTTCTCGGGCGAGGAGCTGCCAGGACAGCCGAAAGAGCTCAGAAAGAGCTCACCGGGCTCACCGGGCTCACCGGGAGGGAAGCGAGCCCCGAGAGCGAGGATACAGCACCGTGGTGGCCGGCACCATGCTGGTGGCAGTGGCGTGCCTGAGGCTTTTTTGAGGTTTCTTTGCTTCCTGGTTTATTGGCCGGGTTTTTCAGCATGTGCTGTGGAGGTTGTATGAGGTTGTTGGGGCCAAGGTGGCTCAGCCATTCTTCCAGTGCACTCCACCCTTGCTTTCCGCGACCTGGTTTGCGCCGGATGAGCCTTGGGTGATCGGGTGATCATTCAGCTTTTTAATTCTGCGCTCGGTTTCAGGTGCATGTAGCGACCACCGTTTGCACAGAAGTGACCCAGGAGAGGGCATTGTCCACAGCAGTGGCCATCAACTTCAACCAAGTATCTCGGCATGCAGACACGATCAAATCTCGTGAAACGTCGCATAGCGTCGCATAGCGTCGCATACCGTGGCATACCGTGGCGACGTTTCACAGGTGGGGATTGCAACCGCCTTCGTTGCTGGCGGGGCCTTTGGCGGGTCTGAAGCTGGCCTGAAGGCGTTCGGCCCTTTCGGCATGCGAAAGTCACTTCGACTGAGCTGAGCCAGGCATACTTTGTGATCATCACCCTTGCGTCGACGGTCATTGCGATAGCCTCTATGTTCCTTGCCCTCAGATCCCTTAGATCCCTTAGATCCTTTAGACATTGGCTTCTTTTCTTTGAATTCAGCATCTCATGAGGCGTATCGCACGTTCGCCATGTTTCACGCACATGCTTGCAAATGCAGGCTTTTCTTCCAGGAGAGGCCACCTACTCCACCGCTAACAGCTCAGTATGACCAGTCCCGCCCAGTGTCAATGAGCCAAAAGTCCCGAACCAAGTGCAGGCAGTCCAGGCAGTCCAGGCAGTCCAGACAGTCCGGGCTAAGGTCCGCATCCGAGCTGGAGAAAATGCTTGCAGCAAAGCAGTCTGGCACTTTGAAGTCGAAGGATGCCAAGGCACACTTCACCACATTGCATGGCATCAGTTCAGCGCATTTTGAGTGTGCCAGGAGAAGAAGAAAGACGTGCCAGCGGACACCTTCTTGAGAGAGGCACTTCATGCCTTTCTCGTCCTTTCTCGCTTGGCTAGCACAAATGTCATGAAGCCTCGCATTCCCAAAAAGCAGCGGTTCCCTTGTGAACGCTAGCCCTTGGCCCGTTGCAAAAGGGACAGATCGCTCAAAACTATGGGGGTTCTACTTTCAAGCAAAGAGGTAGAGAAATGGAGGGTGTGACACAAGATTTGCACGGTGGGTGCTGCCGGGCGTACGACGGAGAGTCACACAGGGTGCTGTCGCAGAGTTCTCTTGACGGCTTCTGCTGCTGCTGTGGCTGGGATTTGCGCATAGAATTGCATAGGAATCTGCTCAGATGCAGAGCGCTGCTAAAGGCTGCTGCCGGAGTGCATGCAAAGGACAGCGTATTTTGACTTGTTCTTTCATATCGCGTGTCAAGTATTCTTGGTCCCTTTCTATTTTGTTATTCGGATAAGGTTATTCCCCAACAGCTGAAAGCTACGAATTACTTTTCAAGTTGGATTTGTATTGGCTTTCACTTCCCTTCGGAATGCAGCCGGCGTTGCTCGCTGCGCGCGAATGGCGCGAATGGCGCGAATGGCGCGAATGGCGCGAGGCTCGGCGGCTGGTGGCCACCCCCGGCTTCATGCCACCACTGGCGGCTTTCGTGACCTCCATCGCTGTGACCAACGTAGTGGGCGCCTTCATGGACCTCGTCCGGGCCCCGAACCGAAGCGGACCGAAGCGGACCGAAGCGGACCCGAACCCAACGTGTGGCTGGGGGAAACAGGGACGAGGGGGACGAGGGGGACGAGGGGGACGAGGGGGACGAGGGGGACGAGGGGGACGAGGGGAGCAGGGACAGCAGGGCCAGCTGAATCATCATTCGGTCGTGGGCTTGAATTGTTTTCCTTGTTCCTTGTTTTTCTGTAAAGCGAGTTTGGGGGGAGGTCTACAACACAGACTCTGGTGGATCTCTTAGAAAGGCCGAAAAACTGTCTCTACAGACCGCCCCTTGCCCTCACAACTCCCCGCGTGGTTTTGTTTGTGTAGTTTGAAATGTGTTGAGCGATGCCCCCGCAATTGCATGGGTCGTGTTCATGCAAAGCGTTTGCTGCCATATACATTATTCGTTTTGTGATTGCCGTGTATACATTTGCGAGGGAATCTACTTGCCAGCCAACAGGTAGATTGGCTCGTCAAGCTACCCCACACTGGCTCAAACACAAGCACATTGATTGTACAGGCTCGTGGCAGCTGTGCAGAGGGTAGCTGCGTATGTTCCAATTTCTGTTTCTAAGCGCAGCGTAGCGCTTGAGAACACTATTGTCACTGGCGAAACTGCGTTAAGAAGCATTCATGCCCATGTAGTGAAGGGGTGACATGTGACACACCCACACCAAGTTGCCAGTGAGGCCGAATTCCAGTGTCTTGGGACAGACCAATCAGGGACTGAAGCGCAAACCGCGCCAGAAGTTGCAGCGCGCGGGGTTCAACGACCAGATGGAGGTGGACCTGGCGGGCGCCGGCTTCGAGATTGCCATTGTGTGCGGTGCCCAAGCGGTGCCCAAGCGGTGCCCAAGCGGTGCCCAAGCGGTGCCCAATGCCTTCGGAAGGATGTGCTGAGCCTTCAGGATTGGTGGCATCATTCTAGGCGGTTTAGTAGACCGGAACAAGGAGTACAAGGTCGGGCGAGGGAACACGGAACACCGACACGTGACTTTGCGCCAGTCTGTGACTTTGTGGTGCCTGGGTGCGACGCTCCTGGGCGTGCTCCTGTGGGCTGGCTGCAAGTTCAGCTCGCATCTTGTGCTGTCGAATGTCGAAGCCAAGGCTTGGGATGGAGTCGATGCCAAGGAGTCCGGAGTGTCTGCCCTCAGCTGAGCCACACACACAATCACACACAATCACACACAATCACACACAATCACGCACAATCACACACAATCACGCACAATCGCCCACAATCACACACAATCACACACAATCACACACAATCACACACAATCACGCACAATCACACACAATCACACACAATCGTTAACACATACACGCGTGCCCAACAATCCGCACAATCACACACGCAATCGCACAATCACACACACAATCACACACAATCACGCACACAATCACACACACACAATCACACACACACAATCACACACACAATCACACACAATCACACACACAATCACACAATCACACAAACACACAAACACACAATCGCACAAACACACAAACACAGAATCACACACGCAATCACACACACACAATTACACACACACAATCACACACAATCACACACACAATCACACACACAAATCACACGCACACAAATCACACACAAATCACACACACAAAACACACACAAATCATACACACAAATCACACACATACACAAATCACACACAATCACACACACAATCACACAATCACACAATCACACAATCACACAATCACACAATCACACACACAATCACACACACAAATCACACACAAATCACACACACAAATCACACACACAAAGCACACACAAATCACACACACCCACACACAAATCACACAAACAAATCACACACACACACACAAATCACACACACAAATCTCACACACACAAATCACACACACACAATCACACAATCACACCCCAAAGAAACCAACCCACACACATATCACGCACACTCGCCCCACAATCACACACAATCACACACAATCGAGAGGGTCGCTAGACGCGGCTCTTAGACCCTTTGAAATCACACCCCATCACACCCCAATCACACACAAACAACAACTCCACGCACAATCACCACCAATTCACACAACACACTCACCACAATCGCCCACCACACAATCACGCACCCTATCATAATCGCTACAATCACACACACACACACAATCACACAACCAATACGCACAATGCACAATCCCCCACAATCAACCACAATCACCACACACCAAATGCACACATCACAACAACTCACGACCATCGCACAATCGCCACAATCACACACACAATCACACACACAATCCCAACATCACGCAAACACCAATCACGCACAAATCGGCCCACACACAATCACAATCACACACACACACACACACAATCACGCACAATCGCCCACAATCGCCCACAATATCACACAATCACACATAATTACACACAATCACACACACAATCACACACACACACAATCACACACAATCACACACAATCACGCACAAACCCCACAATCACACACACTCACACACCATCACACACAATCACACACCCACACACACAATGACACACAATCACACAATCACACACACAATCGCCCACAATCACACACAATCGCACACAATCACATTGCAGCCGCTGGGGCGGTACCACTTTTTCACCCGCAGACGAAGACGAATTGGGAAGATGAATTCCCGAAAACAAATTCCAACCCGAAGACGAATTGCGAAGACGAATTCGCCGGAGCCAAGCTCACTCCCGAAGCCGAATTCCTCCCGAAGACGAATTGCGAAGGCAATTTCCCGAACACGAATTGCGAAGACGAATTCTCCGAAGCCAAATTCTCCCCCGAAGCCGAATTCGCCCCCGAAGACGAATTGCGAAGACGAATTCGCCGAAGCCGAATTCTCCCCCGAAGCCGAATTCCCTCCCGAAGACTATTTGCGAAGACGAATTTCCGAAGACGAATTCCAACCCGAAGACAAATTGCGAAGACGATTCGCTGGAGCCAAGTTCCCTCAGGAACACGGGTTCCCCTAATGAATGCCGTTGAGCAAGCATGCTGACAGCGAGCGTTTGTGGTAATTTCCCTTACCATAGACGGCGCCCTACATAGTAGATGCTTTTGTCCAAGCCCAACCCTTCACTAGAAGAGTTCATGCAATTTGAAACCAGTATTGATCTATCGATGGTCCTCTTCTAGGAGGCCCGCTGCCCTCAGCCAGTCAGCGTTTGTAAGAAAGAAGACCCTTCCTTGAAAACAGTTTTTGTTAGACCTCTCGGCTTTGACCCTGTCCCCGTCAGAAGTGCAAAAAAACACACAACACTGAACACCCAGCGCCTGGCACCGGGGGCCCCTAATAATTCATGACGTTACAATTGCGCAGTTGGCATGTTTGGGTTGTTTTCTGATGAGGGGAAGGGATTAGTTTAGCAGGGGGTCGCGCAGATGATGCCTTCTCCTCTTTCGAGGGTTTCCTTCTCGTCCCCCGAAATAATAGAGGGCCCCCTAGATAGTATATGTTTTTGTCTGCGAAGAATCTCCGAGCCGCAGGCTAAAACATCCTAAGGGCAGGTTCTGACGGTCACCCTGTTACTTCCCCTTGTTTAAGGCCCTAAACCTTGAGGGAATTGTGTTTTGTGTGCAGCCGACATGTACATGCGAATGCATTTGGCTCAAGACCTTGATAATAGAACCGAGGCAAACATCAAAACACAGCTCTGAAGCAAAGCAAAAGGGTTCGGATTCCGCGGTCGCATCGAGTCGTGAGACGACGCAGATCATTTACCTTACAACCCCTTTTTACCACGACCACTACTATACGACTTACTGTCGAGGGCATTGGTCACTCCACGAAAGTCGAGCCCCAACTGCCTTGTCATTTGATTACGTGGTTGATCCGCCTCCTGGCAGGTTATCAGCCGTAAGCTCAAAATTGGTCCCTGCGGTGGATTGCAACTGCGGTACAACACAACCTTTTGAAATATATTTACAGCCGTACAATGGATTCTTCCGGAAGCCCGGGAACTGCCACATTCGGAAATGTTTGTTCCAGCGGTTCCACAGGTATGCTGGCAGTGCCAGCGATTGCAGACTCTCCGGACACCCAACAAAGTGCAAGTTCTGATATTAGCCATGACCTATCACATTCATCCTGGAAGGAAGTTGGTCACGCCGTGTGGTCCAAAGACGGAGAAAAGAAGAGATCGTGCTCAGCTTCATTGTCGACACCGAGAAGGAGCGTTAAGGGCGTCATGAGTCCTGCGAGACAGGAAAAAGGGCGATCCAAATCGCCTACAGGCTCCAGTCCGTCTAAGATCACTCAGGAGAACAAGACCCTCAAACAGGAAGTGGAGGAGGCTAAGCGCAAGTTGGCTATGCTACAGGAGTCATATGAACGTGACGACCAGGGCAATGTCACGCGCACCCAGGAACTGGAACGGAGAGCAGGTATGTCGGAACAACAAGTAGCCCATATGCTCAAAAGATCCGACGGACAACTTCGAGAAGCTGCTCAACACATTGACATTCAACGTGGGAAGACAAAGCTATCCGAAGATCAGGCGCAACACCTCGTGAAGATCTACGGAGAGTATCAAGACGAAGCCCGACTTAAAGCCCTCGAGTACGAGAAGCGACATCAGGAGATGGCCGCGAACGTGAATCTGCTTGAACATCGAATCAGGTGCAAGGAAGAAAGCTCATTGATCAGCAAGAATAAGGCTAAACAAGAAAGAAGGAGGACTTCTTCCGAGATCGCTCAGTATCAATCGATGATCAAACTCCTACCAGGTGAAGATCACTACGGACTCGCAGACTGAGGGATCAGGAGTTTGTCGACGTGACTCGCGAACTCGCAGCATCAAGACAAAAGGCTATTGATGCGAAATCCGATTACCTCAGCCAGATCGCTGCAATAGTTGGAAGACACAAACAAGGAACTCGAGAGCGAGAATGCCACCTAAATCGCCATCGCGGCGGATGCAAAAGATCGTGGACGAGCTCTACTGAGGGATGACTCCGTTAGGGCCGGTAAACGCCAAAATTCGAAGATGCGTAAGAGTGATGCCACAAATGGGCCTCAACAACAAGGTCAGGTAATGCTCTATCAGGCTACAATGGCGGCATCTAGTTCTAGTGTACAGGCACCCAATGTTGTTTACCAAGACCCAATGACACAGGCTCATATCGACCAACTCCATGACGGTAGGATTTATTCCAAATATGAGATTTGGTTCAACCGGCAATAATGGAGGTGGATGGAGATGGGGGCGACCTAGTCTCGGTTGCCATCTGCCAGCTGTCCAGCTTCGTGATCTTCGGCCATGGAGGTACATTGACTCTCTCAGCTTCCTTCCGTGATACCCTTGGTCGACCATTGTCATGATCTCTGCGATCTCTCGACCTTCTTCTTCGCGGTGATCTTCTGTTGTGGCGGCGGTCATCATCATCATCATCATCATCATCATCATCATCGGATGGTTCCTCTTCGTTGTCCTCGTCTCCATCATCATCGTCGTCAGGCGGATCAGGTGGATTTGGCCCTCCTCGGTAGCTCGAAGGACGCCGCACCTGCAGAAAGTACAAAGGTCAACGCTCCGAGCGCTCAAAGCTATGCTTAAAGAAAGATGGGGTGGTGATCAGTGGTTGTACAACTGGGGCATACGGAAGAACACAAATAAGGTCAAGAACCCTGTTGAGGGAAAGTTCTTGGCGGACCTGGATTGGACGAGGATCATTGTCAACCCGGTCGATGGGTCAGTCTTGTGCATGGACTCCAAACGTTTTCAAGATCTTGGTGCAACCAATGTGACATTGGACGAGGTCTATGGGATCCTGGTGGCTATCTACGCATGGAAGTTTACTCCAAGGGAGTCTCGCATCTATCCCAGAGAACGACCATGATGGGGAAGTCGGAGAACATGGATGACACTTGTTCAGAAAGCACCATGACGGGAGGAAATGTATCCGAATGTACAGTACAGATGAACTGACATACATTTATGAGTGGGAGGACCTGGCAGCGCGCGATTTGTGTTTGCGAACCTGCGCGGCGGCGCCAATGGTTGATTGCCCTGAGGGCGACTATCCCAAGATGCCTTGTGTTCCGGCCGAAGAAGATCATCGTGAGAAGGTCGTCAAGGTGGCAAGAATAATCAATGCAATGGTATCACGACCTGTGGGAAGGGCCGAGATGCTTACCAACACCAAGGCGATGGACTCCGCACGAAAATGAAAGGGAAATGTCTAATTGACCAAGGAGTCTTCGATCTATCTGTAATCCGTGAGTACTACGATGTCGCTCGCGAGGCAAGACAGAAGAACG